AAGGCATGAACCATATTTTGATAAAAAAATATCAAAAAAGTCATAGTTTGAAAAACATTGTAAATATTAAAAACTGAACACCATTCATCCATTTTTGACCTCCACTGTACATACATATGCGAAAATTACGTGATTGACGAAAATCTAACTCACACACACTCACGCACGCAAAAATTTCAGTCACGCATGATCACGGATATTACGTGATTTTTCACAGAAAGCCGCTCACGCTCACGCGTGAAAAAGCCTGACACAACGTGTCACGTAGAAAATCGCGTATTTTGCCCATCTCTAGTCTCATCATAGCTTTATTTTGCTTAGCGTCTGTTGATATACCGGGCACTTGTTGCCTCCTGCCTGGTGGCTAGTAGGAATGCTGCCGCGTTTTACGCATTATAAGCAGCGTGGTGCATTTGTGCATAGTTTGGCCGTATGCCCAGTTTGGCCGCACTTGAAGCACGATTTGCCAAAATCGTCGCTGCTCCGACATTGTATACAACCATTCAAACGTATGTACTTACATAAGTAACTACATACTAGAGGTATAAGCCGCCGAGCCACGCCGCCGCCGCCGGCGTAAGTTATTTTATTCTGGGGTCCCACATACGTATACAAGTACTAGGTGGCTGNATACATAAGTACATACTAGAGGTATAAGCCGCCGAGCCACGCCGCCGCCGCCGGCGTAAGTTATTTTATTCTGGGGTCCCACATACGTATACAAGTACTAGGTGGCTGTGTGATAATTACGTTAGCATTCCTTAGTGGTGATTTTGCTCCCTCGCATCGCAATGTTTTCTACACATGGTTAAAGTTCCCACTTTATGGTAAACATTAGTATTATTTTTCATTACATTCGGCTGTCATTAGAAAAATTTGGCGCTTCATATTTTAGTAGAAATTTTTATCATCTATAAGCCATTTTTTTCAACAGTGGGTCAAAACTGCCCGTTCTGGTTCGAGTTGATGGGTTAAACTTTTGGAAAAAAATATACCAAACTTGTTTTCAATATGTAATCCGCAAAAAATCGTAAGAACTCCGTAATTTAACATAACGCTTGATAAGATTATTGCAAATATTTATTATTAAATTACCCCAATAACTAAACTTTTAAAGTATTTTTATTTCTTTAAATTTAAATAGTACATACGGATCTGTAGAGAACATAGAGATCCGTGTGCGTATGTATGTATATACCTCAGACCTTCTTCTGTTCGCCCATCAATCAGCGCCAGACACTCAACATTTTAATTCAAGTAGGAAGTAACAATATTTAAATTTAAAACTAATTCAATAATGAAATAAATAGAATAATTGGCATGGCGAATGTCTAACGCTGACGAGTTGAAATGATAAGATTAGTAGCCTCATGGCCCTTTGAAATCTACCTTTTGAGCAGTAGAGCCGACGTTTCCAGACGCGCCGGCGTCGCCGCCGCACAGTGTATCATTTCCATATTCTAGAAAAGATTAATTACATTATTTTATGTCGCCGAATTTCAAAACAACGTCAAGAATGTTTTTAGAAATGCCTGATAAAGACGAAACAATAACAACTAAAAAATTTAAATCAAAGTGTATGGCGGGACGGGGTTTGATTTGGAAAATTACTGAGCGCAATAATATTTAAACTTGTATATTTGAAACTGAATCTCAATGTTTAATTTGTCGGTGTTATGTGATTTATGCAACAATTGCTAAAATATCATTTTAGTCTTATTTTTTTCGGTATGGTCTTTTCAATGAATATACGTTTTTGGGAATTTAGTAAACTAGGACTGAGTATTTTATGTTAAAGTAAAACGATGTTGACTTAGACTTATTTTTAACAAATTATTATTTTTATTAGACCCGAAAACCCGTTATCCGCCACTATTCGATAAAGTTTGTATCTCAGTTTATTTGCCACTCCTCTTAGACTTTAAACAACACAATTTTAGCTCCTGGAAAGTGCAGGTTTTGATGAAATTTTATTTTTTCTGGCCTACTGGGAATTTCATTTTCTTCGAGTAATTCATTTGCATTTTATCTCGACCGAGACAAATTCTTTATTTTTGCGTTGAATATAGAAAGCCTTATTCATTACATTTCCAATGGTATCCCATTTTTGTAAATAGAGCAAGAAATATTGAACTTATAACAGAATTTTGTTGACCCAACTTGACTTTTTTTATCGATATTTTCCACGCCCATAATTAAAAAAAAATATATTTATTTTTAAGTCCATTTCTGTCAGTTTATAATTCCTTGTTATAGGGAAATTCTAAATATAAATTTTGGGCATTTTAGCCTTTGTAGTTAGTTAGATATTTCAGTTTTTGCATTTTTTAAAATTGCAGTTATATAATAGGGTGGCGTGACAGTAACTATAAATTACCAACTTTTTGTAAAAAGCTTCGCCTATCTTATAACGTACCTTGTGCAAAATTAATCTATCTTCAATAGTTTTCGAATTACAGAATTAAAAGCAGCTAGATGGGTCCAATCTTACACTGTGCGCCGCCGCCGAATATTTTTGAAGTTGACCACGCCGCCGCCGCAAGGCCTGTCGGCGTAAACCTCTAGTACATAAGCGCGGACTGGAATCTAGGGCGTTCCAGCCGCCCAGGTGGCAATCTCAAAAATTTGTGCAATCGAAAAATAGGTGCGGACTGGAACCTAGGGCGTTCCAGCCGCCCAGGTGACAATCTCGAAAATTTGTGCCATCCGAAATAGGCGCGGACTGGAACATAGCGCGTTCCAGCCGCAAATAAAGTGCAGTTTCGAGTTTCGTGCACACGGGGTGCGGATTTGAACCTAGACCGTTCCAACCGGTCTACGAATGGATGTGGTTAGTAGTGTATAGGGAGTGATGCAGTCTAATGTACATATCTGTGGACTTTTGGCAAAACAACTTCTCTCGAGTGAGGTAATTTTCTCTTCAAAGCTGAAATTAATTGAGTTGTAGTTATTAATAGGGGTAGCTCAATATGCTATCTAAATAAAAGTTTAATAAAACAATTAAATTTTTAAATGGAAGCCCCTTATAATTTACTCTAAATTCCAACCTACAGGAAGCACAGATGTTGTTTTGTCAAAAGTCTACCGATACGTACGTATGGATGTGGTTACACGAAGCACGCTTGCTTCATTTATATATTGATTGGTAGCGGCGGAGCTGAAATGAGAAATGAATTCGTTCATACATATACATATATGTACACACGGGCATTAAAACATACATATTTATGTACGTACATACATACTTACATATGTATATAGGTACTCTTATTCATGCGCGTTGAAGATGCTTGTGGCTTTGTATAGCCGTCATACGTCGCTTTCTTTCTTTTTTCCCCTTCTCTATACTATATCTTCCTTCTTACTCATGTAACATTTTCAGTTTTAAAAATCTCACTTTCCATTTTTGCGATACCGCCGCCTAAGAAGTTTCACTTCAAAAATCATAATTTTTTGTCGCTCGCAAATAGTCAAAACGTCATTGAGCTAAAAAAAACACGTCAAAATAACGGCGAAATCGTCACTTTGGCAACGCTGGCTGAAATACACTCGGAGGTTTGCCATTGCCTGCCTAGGGGCGACCGTTATTGGAAAAATACTTTATTTTGTAATTTTTATATTGGTCGCAAACTGGGCTCGAATGGTAGCGCGAACTACTGACTACCACACCACGGCGGCCGCCTAGAATATCCGTTGTATTGAAATTGTCAGAATCCTAAAGAGCGTGGCTCACAATCTCTTTGACGTTGCAAAAAAAGTTTTGAAAAACCGTAAAAAAGCTACGCATCCATAGTTTACGTATTTTTGTTGTTTTTCTTAAGGTTTTATTTAACTGGTGTTCAGTTCTTCGAAACCGTAACGCTGCGTTTTCTTGCGAATATTTATTTTTTATTTTTTCGGTTATAAAAAAATTAAAAATGTTTCAAGTAATTGATGTTTAAAACACATGTATTTACAATTAAAGTACAGTCAAACTTCCATAACTCGAATCGCCATTATCCAATCAAAATGTTCGACTTATTGCGACTTCGAGTTAAAGAATATTATTATTTTTAAGAAACCACAATTATGTAAGATACATCTTAAATAATGAACACATTTATTAATTCAAAATCAAGTTCACATGTAAAACTTGCAATCGATTAAAATAATCAGAAATTAGTGACAGAAAATCTACTTTCCTCTTGGAGTTTTCAGTAATCCTGAAGAGCGGCGTTGGAAGTTATTTCACTAATTCTTAGCCATTCTTCGTATTCAGCATTTATTAAGTTTTTATTTCATCAAATCCACGAAGGTAAATTAAAGGTATGTCGTCCTCTTCGTCCCATGCAGAACACTGACTAAATCCTGGTTTTTTTAAGCAGTTGGCGATTTTTTTTTTACTAATGTCAATATCCCAAGCTTCTGAGATATGATTGATGCAATCAATAAGAGTAACATCCTGTTTTTGGTTTACCTCTATACGCCTTAAGGCTTCTTTTACGACCCTAATTTGGCTGTCATATTCGGTGGAAAGAACACCAATTCAATAGATTTCAATTTATTTTGGACGGCTTTGGGTGTGCCGGACAATTATCGACAAACTTTAAAAACTTTCGGTTCTCACGTTGCAAGTGCTTATCCAGTTTTAAAATCCATTCTTCAAAAAGTTGCCCAGTCACGTTACACAAAGAAAGAAAATAAAGCGTTTGCTTAACAATATTTATGTACATAAGTACTTCCCCGAATAAGAGATTCGCTGAAAAAAAACCAAAGTCACAAAACCAAGTGCATAAATTGGGATTTCCCCCAAATTATTCGACTTACAGAAGCATTTGCCAAAATTTGTATTCGAGTTATGGAGAAATTCGAGTTAGAGAAGTTCGAGTTATGGAACTAAAAATGAGTGTATATTTCTCTCTAAACGCTATTGCCACTTGATTTTGTTCGACTTATAGAATATTCGAATTATAGAAGTTCGAGTAATGCAAGTTTTACTGTATTTTGAATATTATACTTACTTCTTTTGCGTATGAGTAAAACCGCTGCTATTATACCCAATAATAGAAACATCGAAAGGCAGACAGGAAGTAGCACTTTAAAATTCGCATAAAAGGGTCCATCGCTCATATGGGACACAGGATTCGCGTGATCGGTTGTGTAGATAACTAAAAGGAAATATTCAGTATGTTGAAGTAATCAATACACACAAATATGCACCTCCTTGTGGTGAAAGTGTAGTAAAGTTGTATACTGCCGTTGTAGACCCAGCATTATTATGAGACGCAACTTTTAATTGATATTTTGTACCAGGAACTAAATCACTAACCGTATAGATGCGTTCTGTCGGAGGAATATGGTTTGAAACGACATTCCATTGTGATCTGTAAATTGAAATTTTGAGGTCATTCAAATGGTAAAAGTAGGTTTATTCGCGTATTGATAGTTTGATGGGTTTTGATAGTTGTGTTCCTGTTCGCGTACTCAAAAATCCAGCAAAGTAGGGGAAATTGAGAGTCCAAATTGACATTTTATTCTGATGAAAAGCTGCTAGTTTCTGCTGGAAAAATTTTTACCAGCAGCCATTTGCCAGCAAGAAAAACAGCTGACCAAAGTCATCTGTTTTCAATTTATGAAAATATGGAAATTTATTTTAGATTTGGATTTAGATTTATTATCATGATTTTTAAGTGCGAAATAACTTATTAGAACTGCAAATGTATGGGAAGAAAGAAAATACTCATTTACTCATGTTTGATTAGCAAATTGCTTTAGAAGAACTTTTAATCTATACTATATATAAAACTAGCTTATACCCGCGGGTTTCACCCCACGTTTTTATACAAATATAAAAAATAATTTAATGATGTTATATTTTATTTCTGTGCCCATTTTGTTATAGGTGTTAAGTTATTTAGGCCGTTTAAAACTATAAAACTATAAAATTTCGTCTGCGCGCTAAGCATACGAAAGATATCAATCCCTCTAAGTTAACCTTAACATGGTTCCAGGGATACGACGCGTGAACGTGTAACTTTCTTGGAGGTGCCGCGGCAGGTTCTAATATTGATAAAATACCACTTCTCATTATTGTAGCAAATGCCTCAAGAGGTAGGTATGTATCATGAGAGCTTTAGATTATAAGGCCGAACCCGGAACCCTTTTCCATTAAATTAAATTTTTTCTGTCAGTACGGCACTTATAAAATAAATCTCCATAACAAAGTTAAAATACTTCCAGAGACTCTCTATCCTTCCAGAGATATCTATTAAGAAATTTTTAGTAGGTGTGGGAGGCGAGATGCTTCCTTTTTTAATAACTCACATTTTTTCCAAGAGCAATTGACACAGTTTGTATACACAACTCTATACCAAGTTTCAATGTTCTTCCACAAACACTTCCAGGGATATGTAGCAAGAAAAAGTCAATTTGTACAGGAAGTGCCACGCCTAGGGTGGCCAGATATTATAGTGACATAATCAGTGCAGTTGGGATCAAAAATCAGTAGAAAGCTATAAAAATCAGCTCATATTTAAGCGCATTTTTTATTATTAACAATATAACAACCAAATAACAGCGCATTAATTTAACAAAAAATAACTAATAGACTTTTAAATACATATAGTATTGTCAATATAAAAATTCATAACTTTAAAATAAATCAAAGGTATTACGTATGTATGTACAGCTGTGCTCAGGAAAATAGTAGTAAAATGTATAGACAGGTTTTGAAAATTTTTTCTTTCCTTACTTAATTTAAAATTTGTATAAAAACCATTCTATAACAAAAGACATGTGAGTTGAAGTCTCAAACTTTCTAGAAAATTTATAAAAATTGAGAGAATTAAAAAAAAATTTGTAGCCCATTCAGTTTCAGTAGAAGACGAGCCCGAGTCAGAATCTGTTTGCATATTTTAAGCTACAAATTTAAAACATATTTAGTTGAAGTGCTTATTAAATACAACATTCATATTAAAATGTTGACTAAAAGGTATATTACCGAATTATCGCTAAACGAATTTTCGAGTACGAATGAAATTCAATAGTGTTAAATGTGTATGTGCAGGTAAAATTACAGGTGGTCGAACATCAAAAATCAAAGTAAAGCTACATATATCATATCCAAGTCGGTAGTTTGCACCTTTTCCGAATTTTTAGAACTTACATTGCACCGTAGCAGTAGTCGTCTTAAGTTTGAAATACTGACAGCCGATTTCTCAGTGGATGTTTAATTATAATCAAAAAATTATCTCTTATTGTCATCTTCTCAGTGTACTTAATATATGATTAACTCACCACCACCTTTCATAAGATCTATTAATGGCGAAACCAGCTTTTCCTGTAAATCCTGTAAAACCTGCAAATCGTGATTGCAAATCGGGTTGGGTTGAATCCAAACAGTTTGTTATTTTGTGAAACCCTAGGAAACGAAACAATTGCAAGCTGACACCTTTTTAATAATGGTTTAAATTTAATTAATGCTTTCAACCTGCTTGCACGTATGAGTTGTCAGAAACCATTGTTTTGAACGTGTAAACCTCAAGTAAATGTAAATTACAACAATTTACAAAAGTATTTATTAAATGTAAAAATCAGTATAAAATCAGTACAAACTCAAAAGATCAGTAGATTTTGCGTACTGATTTCGGGCTCTTAAAAATCAGTACAACAGAAAAAAATCAGCACATGTACTGATTAAATCAGCGCATCTGGCCACCGTAGCCACGCCCCTTTTTCTTATAACCCTAATCTTCTTCCATGAATTTAGAATTGATTTTACATACCCCAGTACCAAGTCCCAGTACTCTACCATAAACACCTCTAGAGACATGCAGTATAAAAAGTAAATTTGTATGGGAGGTACCATGCCCCCTTTTCGAATAACGCAAATTTTTGACCATGAGTATGGAATTAATTTTGTATACACATCTCCGTGCCAAGTTCCGCAATAAACACCTCCAGAGATATACAGCATAGAAAAATCAATTTGCATGGGAGTTGCCACATCACCTTTTCCAGTAACTCTCATTTTTCTCCATGAGTATGGTATTAGTTTCACACACATATATACATATGTATGGATTTCCATACCAAGCTTGAGTACTATACCCCAAACATTTGATGAGATATGCAATATGAAACTTTCAGTCAGTATGGGAGGTGCTACGCCTTTTTTTCCAAAAACGTCCATTTTTCTCCGTGAGTATGAATATGATTTCACACAGTGTTGGAAAAATGTTAATATGATTAACGATTAGCATTTAACGATCAAAATGTTAATCGCGTTTGACGATTAAAATTAATTAGACGTAGTCAACTGTACGATTAATGATTAAATTTTTTTAATCATTAATCGCTGGCTGCGAATATGATTAATTAATTTTAATAATTAATCGTTAATCCGATTAAAAATAAAATCTGATTAAGTTGTCTAGTTTGTCCGAATTTGAAACCAAACACCAGTTATAGTAATTATTTTGCGTTTCACGCTTATAAAAAGCACATAATATAAAAAAAAAATATTATTATTTTATTAGTAACTAGCCAATGCCCGCTTACTTCGCGGCGCCTAATAAGAGCTTTTGGTTGGCCAATGCAAAAGAGCGTTTAAAAACAAAATTAGTCTGTAAAGTCAAAATTTTTGATTTAAGTTGAAACCACTAAGGTGCAGTATCCTCCTCACACATAGGCCAATAATAGTAACGCTGTGATACCATATGGAATACCTATCCCTTTTGGTGTCATGAGCTTTACCAATGGTCTTATTTCCACCTGTGAGATCTCTGCCAAACATGCGTAATCTTTTTGTATGATCTTGCAACTAAAACATTGGTGCGATGCGTATGCCAATAAAAGTTCTTATAGGGAAACTCAAGAGCACAGAAGTGAGTTTTCTGTTATAGGAGGGCCAAGAATCCTCGCTGTCCTATAGGATGAAAAGTTTTCCGGTTCATTGCTAAATGAGTCGTGTGATCTCTTAAGTATCTTTCAAATGGAGCAATTGATATACCTACGGTGATCTTTCCTTGTTAATTCACCACTTTTACAAACTTAACCCCATCCTTCATTTAGACATCTGAAAACTAAATTCGTATAACTTAAACATAGGGCCAAAGCAGACCAACCACGGGGTTTCTATACATTTCGGCTGCAGCGCCATCCATTGGGTTCATTTTCTGTAAAACCATTGCTTACCATAAAATGAATACGTGTTATGAATTTCAACCTTAACTCCCGCGGCACTAATCGGGTAAATTTTTATCAAAAGAATTTTCCATCATACAGGTACATAGCTCACATTTAAAATTTGAACGAAATCGGTTAATAAATACGATTTTTATAAATAGCTCTACTCCAGCACCACTTAGCGAGTTTTCTAGTAGCATGTAATATATGTACATATGTCAGATAACCTCCGACAATCTGACGGAACTCTATTCAGTGGTTTCTGAGTTTATTCCGAACAACGAAAACGGCTATCATTTTATGCAAATAGGTATGTAGATATAGGGCAGTCTATAACGAAACCCGAAAAATCAAAGCTCCATTCTTTGTGCAAAATTTAAAAAAATTCTTCAAAATTTTCACATAAATTTTACCTTTTACTAAAAACTAAAAACAAAGTTACAATATTTCAATGGGATTTAGAAATCTAGGAGAAAATTGTTCCCAATCGAGTGATACTTGCGCGTTTACGTAAACGTATATCGATGCAGTCTTTCCAATAATTACCACTTTTCGCCATAAGTACGGTATTGATAAAAAATGTAGCTGTGTAGAATTTCAGGACGTTAGCGTAAGTAGTTCCAGAGATAAGCTATATGGGAAGTTCAGTTTGTATGGAAGGAAGGAGCCACGCCCCCTTTCCCAATGCATTTGCAATATATACATCAGTGCTAAGTTTCAGTTCCCAGCGTAATTGGTTTTAGAGATATATTAGTTTTTTACAGCCCGATTCTGTGTACTTGATAAATTTAAAATCTTTATAATTTGTCAATTTTTTATTATTTATCAAGAATTGGTATTCTAGCACAGAAATCAAAAGCACTTTTCTTGATAAATTATCAAGATTGAAAATGCTATTGACAAATTGAAATTTCATGTGAAATGTATAAATTTTGTATCTTAATAAATTTGTTTCTAACAATTAAATACTCCATGTGCCGGCATTTGAACCTGCGACACACGGAATCTCTACCTACTCGGATACGGCAGTCAAAAGCTTTTTCGCTTTTAAATTCATATTTTTCATATGTGACAATGAAATCAGTTGCACTCATGTGGAAATCAGTTCCACTAATGTGGAAAT